TTATATTTTAATATTAAAAAATAAAATATACTACATTTAAGTCACATAAATAAGACAATTAAAATTAAAATTTATGTCAAATAACTATCTTAATTGATTTTGCATTAGAGATAGAGCAATGAAATCTCCAAGTGAAATCATGTCATGATCCTCCATTGTACAAACAAAATTACTTTGAGATTCCTTGATCTGTGCTCTCTTCTCCAAGCACTTCAAGTATATAATCTGTGCTCTCTTTTTTCAACACCCAATAGATCATTCAATGACATTTCTAAGACAAGTATGAGCATGGTTGAATACTTCTTGATAACTGATTGGTTGGCTTCCAGGTCTAAAATATGGAATGTGATACCTTTCTCCTTTATAAGGTACCAAATATCCATTTATATTAAGATAACAAGTATCAACAAGACAATATTTACCTAAAATATAATAGAGAAGTCATTAATAATAAATACGAAAAATTTTCTTAAAAATTCATTAATAATTGTGCTTAAAAACTATAACACAAAATAAATAGAAAATTATTACCATTAGGAGGATGAGAAAACACTTCCTTATAATTTTTCAATGTATGGGTAAAAATACGTGCATCATGAGTAAATTCAGGCCACCTGTAACTACAAATGTAAATATCATGTCAAAATTACAAACTACCATCACATTTTGAGTGGGGATGCCTTTGCGACCTATAAATGATATTAGGTCTTCTTTGAGGATCGTGGCTTTAACATGCGTACTATCAATTGCACCAATACATCATTTAAAATGAAGTCAAAACCTATTATCTTGTCGAATCTTATTCAGAGTTTTGGTAAAATTATAATCATGTGGTTTCACAATGTCACTTGAAAACCTCACCATTGCATCAAAAACCTCACTAAAATTTTTACTTATTGTTTCTCCCGAATGTTTAAAATGATTTTGCACATTCGATTAAATTGATTATATGCACATGTCCAAAGAAACATTGCAAGTGATTCTTTTGCATATATTTCTCTTGTTGATGTTAGGCCATAATTACTAACTAAAAAAGAATATAATCTCGTAAAAACATGTGGTTCTATTCTAAATAATTTATAACTTTCACCTGGAGTTACTAATGTCTCTTGCACCCATCGCCAACCTGTAAGTCTTGAAACTCTTCTTTTTTGTTTCTTAAGATATTTTGAAATATATTTTAAAGATATTGAAGCACCTAAGTGAACAAGAGAATAAAAGATATTATCTCTTTTTCGTCTACCTTCCACTTGCTTATCTCTTTGTTTTATAGCTTGTTCCTCCATCTCATCCTCATCACTATTTTCATAATTGCACCTTGGATCTAAATGCATCTACCAAGAAAAAGAAAAACATTAGGATCCACATATGAACACAAAAAACCAATCTAATTATTTTTACAACTAAATTAAAAATGTAAAAAAAAAAAAAGATAACATACCTTTTTATCTTTCTCTTAAGTTGAATAACAAATGAACTCTTGAACTTTTGAATTCTTGAACTTTTGAACTCTTGAACTCTTGAACTCTTGGACGTAAATTGAATTTGGGAGAAGTGTATGAGGTTGTTGTGATTTAAATAGGGTGTTGTGTTTTTATGTATGTTTAGATTTTTTTTTCCATATGATTGAGAAGTCTTTTCTTAAGACAAACTTTCTTTTTTGATGTAACTAAAATACAACACTTGCGCAGTGCATGTCTACTATCCCAACGCATGCACTAAAATCAACTCTTGGGCAGTGCCTACTGTCCTCAGCTATTGAGATTCTACATCACAGGTGTCCACATTACTACTTTTGATATAAAAGGTAAAAAGGTTTACTAACCCCTAAAATTCTTTGATTGTAATGATTTAACCAAAAATTTATTTTTTTTGTAAAATCTACACTTTTAGTTTTAAAACTTATGCAAATTGCCCCTTCCCTTTTAGATAATGTGGACACCATTAATTTTTAAATTATACGAATCATATTATTTTAACTTTTTATTAACTTTTACAAATTAACAAAAAAATTAAAAACTTAATATTTCAAGATAAGTGATAATCTAAACATGGATTAATATGGAATCCTTATTTGAACTATAAATCACCAATCCAATTCCTAAGCAACAACATTACGAAAAATACATAAATTCATAACATTAGTCCATATACAATGAAAATACAAATAAAAAAGAAAATAGTTTTGTATCTCAAATACAAGCATTACGAATGTCTTAATATTAAAAACTCAAATACAAACATCCTAGTAATGCCTTCTACTGTCAAATCTCTCCCTCTCTATCTCAAACCTTATCTTGTCCTTTTCCAACTCTTGCTATAGCCAAGAAAGTTTTGAGGTAACTGATTTTATACTCCTAAACATATTTCTATATTCTCGTTTCACAAACAAACGAGTACCTAACATAAAAAGTTCATTACCATCTTCAACTTCAGGTAAAGTTAACAATATCTCCATACATTCTTCAGTGCTATTAGCATGTGCTTCATAATTCCTCTTTGATGATTCACTCAAAGTAGTTGTGGTATAACTTTCAACTGCATCACAAAGACGATTCAATTGTCTCTGCATGCATGCTGCACATCCTAATTTCACTTTCTTCCCTTTGCTGGTAAGTGAAGGACCAATTGTGTTTTTTTTCCTTTTTTCACTGCTTCCACTAGTTTGTGTTGGCATGACATTCACCTAATTAGAATCACCACTTCCTTCTTCCAAATCAACAACATCTTCAAACCCCACATTCTATTGTTCTGAAG